TATATATATAATATATATACTAGTATATATATATATAATATATATATATATATATATATATATATATATATATATATATATATATATATATATATATATATGTGTGTGTGAGTGTATGTATATGCTCATTGACTCATAGAGTATTCAATTTATATTTGCAAAGGAATGCATATCAACTTGAAGTTCAAGTATAAAATCAGCAGAACACATGTGAGCAGGATATTGATAGTATCAACAACATAATGTGGAGGTACCCAGTGGCAAAATAGTTCAAGACGCTTATGCTGTGTATAAACATTGAGTACGACATACGGCATTATATCCACGTACTGTGACAAATTTCTATCTAAGCGGTACAAGGCAATTTTTTTCCCGTACATTGAAGAATAGAGGCACATACAACCACGCATATTTTTATATATATACGTAGCATATCAAGTAACATCTATACTCGAAGAAGAAGTAAAGAATACCGTCAACCTGGAACGAAATCGGCGCAATAGCAACACGAGGCATGGGTTTGAGTGCAAATGTAAAGCACCTGTTCGATCGAACAATCTACAAATGACTAGATAGTCAAATTATTCGATGTATTTTTTGAGATAAGTACTCCTAAGCCCTACCTATGGATGTCATGCATAATAACATTACAGTGTTCCCAAGCAACACAAGCAACAGTGCTATTGCACCAAGGGCGTAGTCCAACCATATTTCATTGAACACTATGCCCCACCCATCATACATACAAGATGAGTTCGTACTTGGCTAATTGAATGGTGGAAACAATAGTATGCACAAGTGACCTATTTGTTGTATCTGTTCACCTATTCACATCCTCCTCCGCCCAAGGCGCTAGTGGTAGAAAGAAGTTGCCATACTGGTGGTGTAGTCGATGGATCATATCCTTAGTACACATACCAAGCTCATGAGGCCCCACCTGCACATATTCGTGTAGAGGGAACAGTCAATTGGTGCAGAATAAAAGCCGTTAAGATACAACCCGAGACTCGTGGTACACAGCGTTTGGTATTAGAGGAAACTTAATTTTTACACACTACATACTGTTATGTTAGTTTGAAGCTAAAGGCGTGTACACAGTGTTCGAGACCAATAAGAGAGAAAACTTAAGCAAAAGGTGAAACGGTCTTAATCTTCATTCAATTGACAAATTTTGAAGGCAATCAAGTAAGCGAGATAATCCAATACAATATAGGCGATACCTGGCAAGCACAGTAGTCAGAATACAGTGAATGCCATCTGATTTTCACGTCCATCCATGCTAGGCGTTTGTTCTCTGGATTCCCTCCTGCGTAGTATCGCAATCTGTGTACCGGCAATGTTAGAGCGTGGACTTAGGTAACCATACAATGTGAGAATATGAAATCGACAGTGCAATATATGTTTATAAATGGCTTGTCAATAGAAAATGTCTCAAAAGATACAGAAGCCCTCCCCTGTCGCTGATAGATTGCTATCAGTATACGTTAAGTGGAACACTACCATGCACAGTTTAGCTCTTAGCGGTGAAAGATATGAGCTAGTGTTGATTGACGCGTTGATCGGATTGAAAGGGCGTGAGACGTTCATACACACAGCACACCTGCTTGGTAGTACGATAAAGTTTAGCCCTGCTTGAGGTATACACACCACAGGACAAATCCCTTTTTTTCCCACCATACTTGATGAGTGCGAATTTCTTCAAGGTATCCTGCTTGATGCTGATGCTCACTGGCAAGCCTACTTTGTCCCTTGAGACTAACATGTAGGTAATCAGCTTCTTTATCCTTGTGCTTGCTGAGCAACTGTTGAAGTGTAGATATCTGTAGTAGGGATCGCTGTCGAGTTTCTGTTGCAGTTTCTGTTGTTAAATGATAGATGAAATGAATAGCACAATAGATTTGAGTACTTAGGCGTCAATTACCCCTCCATGGTTTCTTGAACAAGTGATACGCAATCTTAGCTCTACATATGTACATGCGCATCAGAATCGTAAACATCCATACACTGCATGCAATCATGAGCGGATTCTCTCGCGAACCGTACGCTTGTACATTTGTTGCCACTACTATGGTCGCGAACAGGCACAAATATCCACCGAATGCAGTACCAACAAAAGGCATAATATATATATTTTAAATTGTACAAAAGCCTCCGCCACCCACAATGTAAGCTCGGGCTCTAGTAAAGTACACCCAGACTCTCTTAATTTGCACAATTGGAGACATCAGCTAACAGTTGGGATGGTTTGTTCGATATATGACATAAAAGATAAATAGAGAAAGCCAAAACATAATGATCATTTATGTACCTGCAACATGCGCTTAGGGCACATGCATTGGCACAGTGTCTTCAGCTTTGTTTTGCGATGCTTGCCCTTGGAGATCTCACACGCCAGCGCGTCATAGCCCTTTTCGGCGTTGTCCTGTATTCAATGGCGGGGGAAAAACCTTTATACGGCGCAGGTCATGGAATAGTACAGTCTACTCCTCCGCGAAATTGGCAGTTGTACAGAGACGTGCTGCATATCTATGGAACATGTCTACTTGCGCAATTTGTCTATTGACAAGCGCGTACTTTAAGCTCACGCCCGTGATCTAGGGTATCGAAAGGTGTCTGCTATATGACAACGTGGTCTGTTACGTAGCTAGTACGCATTACCACTACAATCGTGCAGCTCATCGCCACCAATACGCCGGGGCACCTGGATCATTCAACATGAAACCTAGAGATGGCTTCTGGGAACCACTCTTGCAGGCATGCAAGTGCCCTCCTGAGAGTCGATATATACTACGAAACGACATTCAAACCAGCAGTTGAGCGTCAGCAATACATCCACAATCTATCTGGACTACCTTGGTGTACTGATCGAGTTCATCTCTGGTCCACTGCATAGACGGGCGGCACTCGCATTTGCACTGTTCTTCAATAGCTCGCCGTGACGATCGCGGCAGATCGTGTATCCTGTCAGTAGTAGTGGTGGAGGTGGCATCAGTTTGTTGCACCAGACATTATGGAAACGAAAAAATTTAAAAAAAGTTTTTCTATACATACGAAGAGAGGCGAAGAGCACGAGCTTAAGAATGCAAGTTATTTGCGATGGTTGTATATTATTGAGGTGTATATCTGTGTACGAACTTTATAAATCGAAGTATGTCTTCCTCGCATTGCCACACTATATACACACCTGACAGCCGCCAAGGAGTAGCACCCCAGTTTCTCCAACAGCCTGCGGTTATCCCACATGGAGATTTGTAGGTCCTGCGAAAACATGTGCCATCATGACATTAAGCTAGATGACAAATATATTGATTGTCGAATTGTCTACTATAGTATCTTGTTGGGGGCATGGCAGTCGTCACTCGTGACATACCAACTCGCGACACATCAAAGTATAAGACGATCACTAGCTGTTACTTAGAAGTTTATAACATTCTATGTTATCCAACAAAATAGATTGCCATTGAAGTACCCCGTGATAGGCGCTGATACCAGAGTATTGAGCATGTCTTCGCGCACTACCTTGCTATTTTCAGAGACTACGATATGTCACAGAACATTATACAATCTCGAACCATTTTATCATCACACACCATAATATACAAACATACCATGTCCTTATCCCCTGGTATCAGGCCACCGTGTCGAACGACGCCAATGGCTGAGCCATCCTCAATGCTGTATAATATTCCTATACTCCGTAGCCACGCCAGCATATGTAGGTGGGCCTTGTGCCTAACATTGCCTTTCTGTAGTTGCCACAGACAAGTTTGCAGGATTGGCAGGAGAAGTCGGGAGATTAAATATAGAGTATTGATCAGAGATCATTCATTGATTTCGAATGAGCTCTGCAATCATGTCAGCATTCTTTCTGCGCCATTCTGACTAATGGTACGTGGGACTGTAGGGTCAAGCTTACAAAACCAATGTTTGCAGGTAAGGCGTCGGCTTTTCTAATGTTCAGTTTTCAAGGTGGCCGACGTACTATGAGGTTGTCAGATACAAAAATATGGTTTACTTGCACATTGGCTATGGGCTGGAGCGCATTGGCCATATTTAGTCGACAATTGTTAGGCTACTCATTCAAAAGACCTGAGAAAATTACATCACATCAAAAAATCGATATTCCTCCAAGGCCTGTTGTGACACATAAATCTATTCAGAACCGAACACGAAATAGTATGTCCATGGTTACTCACTGGCACTTTCATCTCCGTCGCGCCAACTCAATCCAATCCAGTCGATTTTGATCCCATCCCATCCAATTCGACTTCATTCAATCAATACAATGCAATCCTATCCAATTCCATCCAATTAACCCCAATTTCATCCGATTACGTCTCATCATATGCAATCCAGCCTCATACAATTGAATACAACTTAATTTAATACAATTCAACGCAATTTAATCCGACCCCATCCTATCACATCCAATACAACCTAATACAATCAAATACTATTCAATTCAATCCCAATTCCATCTAATTCAATACAATTCAACTCAATTCAATCCGATCCCATCCCATCACATCCAATACAACCTCATTCAATCAAATATTGTTCAATTTAATCCAATTTCATCAAATTCGATCCGAGCCCATTGAAACCCATTCATTTCAATTCGACACAATGCAGGTCTATTCAATTCAATTCAATTCCACTCGATTTGATTTTATAGAGCCATCCTCATGTGGCTGCACAATTGTACCACTGATGATGGCGCTGCACAACGACAGAACAAAAGCACATACCTGAGGTAGAAGGTACGCTCCAGTAGAAAAGCTGCACACTCCGAGGTTTTGTTGCAAAGCGGGCACGTACGTCGTATAGTTCGCAGGAAAGGGGACCATGTAGGGGCCTTGCATTAGTTGGTGTTTCAACCATTTTCTCGTGGATGTGTTTAATGTAGAACCAACACCTGTCTGATTGATAGTCTTGACCTGCATGCTTGGTAGTCGCATATTGTCGTCCTTCCTGTCCATCTCATCTAGCTGTTCGATTAGCTGAAGAGAAGACAACGAAATTCATTATTCATCACGGGACGGCTGGAGTGCTTACGCATACTCGTTGATCTTGATGGGTCTACTATGCCTTACTCTGACAGGTGCAACACATCGTACAGGCGGACCCGTACACGGTCAGGGGCTCTAGTAAAGTTGTTCTATATACTATACATGTCTAATATGATCAGAGGATTATTTTGGGCCTGCGATATACTACATTAACAATCATACCTCATTTCTAAATACTATGATAATTGAAAGTCCCAGATCCAACAAATTAATACGAAACGTACTTCACACTTTATGCTAACCTTCTCTATTGATAAATTGATCATGTGATGGCAATGACCGTGCTTTAACTATTATAGATTTTATGTACATACCTCTTCTTTGCTCGATACGTTAAGATCCCCTTCCGCATGCGTCAGGTCGCAGATCAGGCGATCTGAGACATAATCATCGTACCAAAACGTGGGCAATGTTTGACCCTAGATGTTGAACATCAGAGATGGACGATTGAGTACGTAGTAGTTGAATTAAACCATTGCATCCGTACAAACAAGCATATGTTACATGATAATCAGGACAAAAAAATGAAACCCATGATATTGTAAAAAAAGGACATGATGATGGTCAAACACACACACACACACACATATATATATATATAATTATATTATATATATCTATC